CGCTGCTGAATCCGTGATGGACTTCCAGCACCATAGTTATGGGGAGGCATCCAAGAGAAAAGACAAGAACCCCGTCAAAGGTGGGGGAGAGAGACATGACAATGTGGGAAAGGAGAACCCACGAAAACCATTCTTCAAGAAGGGAGATAAGAGTTTGGGGCGTGAGGAGTACGAGGCAAAGAAGAAGTCCTTTGTACCGAAGGGTGGTTGCTTCGTATGCAAAGGACCGCATACCATGAAGGACTGTCCTAAGCTCGGTTCTTTGTCTGCCATAGTGGAGCAACAGGAAGCGGAGGCCCGAGATGAGGAGACGAGCAAGATGGGATCTCTCCAAATCCTTAATGCTCTCAAGGTGAAGCCGATGCCCACGATGACAAGCAAGGGGCTCATGTACGTTGAGGCATACATCAATGGGAAACCAACAAGGGCGTTGGTGGACACGGGCGCGACACATAACTTTGTGACTGAGGAGGAAGCCAAGAGGGTTGGTCTTCAATGGTCCAGAGGCGAGGGATGGCTTAAAACGGTTAATGCCATGGCTCAACCCCTAAACGGTGTGGCACGAGGCGTGGATCTACGCCTAGGCACTTGGAAGGGCCAAGTGGATTTTTCGGTGGCACCAATGGATGACTTCAAGGTTGTTCTAGGGATGGACTTCCTGAGACAGGTAACTGTGATCCCTATGCCATCCTTTAGCACGGTTTGCATTCTTGAGAAGGGTTCACCGTGCAAGGTACCGACATTGGAAACTCCCAATGAGCGGCCAAGCGGGGCTAAGACATTGTCGGCTATGCAAGTAGCCAAGGGGGTGAAGAAGGGCGAACCGACATTCTTAGCCGTACGCAAGGTGGATGATGAGACGGAAGGGCCGGCGGACATACCACCTCTTATTCAAGTTGTCCTTGAGGAAAACAAGGACGTGATGCTGGAGAAGTTACCCGACAAGCTACCACCTAGGAGGGAGGTGGATCACAAGATCGAGTTGGAACCGGGTGCTAAACCGCCCGCAATGGCACCCTATCGCATGTCCCCAAGTGAGCTCGAGGAGCTACGTCGCCAACTCGATGAGCTGTTAGGGACCGGGAAGATGAGACCGTCGAAGGCACCTTATGGCGCACCGGTGCTATTCCAAAAGAAGCATGATGGGACGCTAAGGATGTGTGTGGACTACCGGGCGCTTAACAAGGTAACGATCAAGAACCGCTGTCCTATTCCTTTGATTGCCGACCTATTTGATAGACTTGGTGGGGCCAAGATATATACAAAGATGGATCTACAAAAAGGTTACTACCAAGTACGAATAGCGGAGGGAGATGAGCCTAAGACCGCATGTGTTACACGCTATGGCTCGTTCGAGTGGTTAGTCATGCCCTTTGGACTAACCAACGCACCTGCCACATTTTGCACGCTCATGAACAAGATCTTCCAACCCTATTTAGACCGGTTTGTGGTGGTATACTTGGACGATATCGTGGTTTATAGCAACTCAATGGAGGAGCATGTGGAACACCTACGCATTATCTTCCGAGTACTCTGGGAGAATGAGCTTTATGTCAAGAAGGAGAAATGCACGTTTGCCACAGAGGAAGTACACTTTCTTGGTCACGTCATTGGGCATGTGTAACTCATGATGGACATGAGGAAGATCAGGGCAATCGTGGAATGGGAGGCACCGACCAAGGTAACCGAATTACGGTCATTCCTTGGGTTGATAAATTATTACCGACGGTTCATCGAGGGATATTCGAAGAGGGCAGCTCCATTGACGGACCTACTCAAGAAGGGGAAAACTTGGGAATGGTCTGACCTATGTCAAGAGGCCTTTGATGACCTGAAGGCCGCGGTGAGCCAAGAGCCCGTTCTAGCTCTACCGGACTTTGGCAAACCATTTGAGGTACAAACCGATGCCTCCGACTTTTCCATTGGAGGAGTTTTGATGCAAGAGAGGCATCCAATAGCATTCGAGAGCCGCAAGTTGAACGAGACGGAGCGGCGTTACACCGTGCAAGAGAAGGAGATGACCGCGGTGGTTCATTGCTTGCGCGTGTGGAGACACCACCTCTTAGGCGCAAACTTCATCATCAAGAAGGACAATGTGGCAACGAGCTATTTTCAAACTCAAAAGAAGTTATCACCTAAGCAAGCTAGGTGACAGGATTTCTTGGCGGAGTTCGACTACACTTTGGAGTATAAGCCTGGGAAAGCCAATGTTGTAGCCGACGCACTTAGTAGGAAGGCGGAGCTCGCAGCCATTAGTCAAGCGGAGGGGGACTTGATCGGGCGCATCAAGGAGGGACTTGAACGCGACCCCATGGCCAAGGAGTTGATGAAGCTAGCCAAGGAGGGAAAAACCCAACGGTTTTGGGAAGAGGACGGCCTTCTCTACACAAAGGGGCGTCATCTTTATGTCCCAAAATGGGAGAGTTTAAGAAGAGATCTCGTCAAGGAGTGCCATGACACGAAGTGGGCTGGTCATCCCGGCCAAAAACGCACCCTAGCCCTTGTCGAGACCGCATATTTCTGGCCACATATGAGGGACACTGTGGAGCTTTATGTGAAGACCTGTCTTGTGTGTCAACAAGACAAGGTGGAGAATCGGCAACCCGCGGGACTGCTGGAACCATTGCCCATTCCCGAGCGACCATGGGACTCTATTTCTATGGACTTCATTAGTGCCCTACCGAAGTCCGAGGGGTTTGGATCTATCATGGTGGTGATAGATCGATTTTCTAAGTATGGGACGTTCATCCCGTGCATGAAAGATTGCACAGCGGAGGCGGCGGCACGGGGGTTCTTCAAGAACGTGGTGAAGTATTGGGGACTTCCAAGGAGCATAGTGAGTGACCGAGACCCCCGCTTCACAGGCCGACTATGGACCGAGTTGTTTAAGTTGCTTGGGACACAACTCAACTTCTCTACAAGCTTTCACCCTCAAACCGATGGGCAAACCGAACGGGTGAACGCCTTGCTAGAGTGTTACCTTCGGCACTTTGTAGGTGCCAACCAACGAGATTAGGCAAGACTCTTGGACATAGCCCAATTCTCATATAACTTGCAGCAGAGTGAGTCTACGGGACGGAGTCCGTTTGAGCTTGCCACGGGGCAACAACCATTGACTCCACACACTTTGGCCATGGCACTCCACGATGGGAAGAGTATGAGAGCATTTAAGATGGCGAAGTCTTGGGAGGAACAAGCCGATCTAGCTCGTTCGTGTTTGGAGAAAGCACGCAAGCGGATGAAGAAGTGGGCGGACGAGAAGAGGCGGCCAAAGGAGTACACCGTGGGGGACTTAGTCTTTGTGAAGCTCTTACCACAACAATTCAAGGTATTGAGAACCTTACACAAAGGCTTAGTCCGTAGATATGAGGGGCCATTCCCGATTATTGCTAAGGTAGGAAAAGTTTCGTATAAGCTCGACCTACCCAGCACATTGAAGATTCATCCGGTCTTCCACGTAAGTATGCTGAAGCCTTATCATGGGGATGAGGAAGACCCAAGCCGGGGGTTATCAAGCCGAGCATCGCCTGTAGTCACTAAATCTTACGACAAAGAGATTGAAGACGTGCTCGCAACAAAGGAGGTTAGAAAGAGAGGCGTTCCACGCCAAAATCATTACTTGATCAAATGGAAGGGACTACCCGAGTCGGAAGCAACGTGGGAACCTGAAGAAGACTTGTGGCAGTTCCGGGACAAGCTCGAGGCGCACAAGGCGACGAGGACGTCGCCAAGTTAGGTGGGGGAGAATGTCACGAGTCTCCCAATGCCGCGGCATGATAGGCTGATACGCCGTGGCATGACATGGCATACGCCGCGGGATAACCATGGCCAGGTGACAAGGTAGAGTCTAGAACATTCCAAGAGGAAGGGACAGAATCCTGGAGGCTAAGAGTATTCTAGACTCGTGTCGATACATGTACACTTGTATAGAGTATAGTAGAATACTCTAGATTATGATAGAGTTGTATAGAATATTCTAAGAATTAAACCATAGTCGTTAGATCAAATAGATCTCAACCATCCATTGAGGAGGAGGGCAAGTATAAATACCCCTCAAGGTGGTTCATTTGTACACATCAAAGTTTCCAAGCATTCAATACAGTCTCAAGCTTTCTTCAAGTGTTCTTGCCTTTACCACATTTCCTTCTAGCCAAGCACTTAAGCGCACACAACACTAAGGAGTTGTCTAGGCTGACTTAGCTACTGCGAGGGGCAGAAAGGAGCTAAGGCCGCACGTGAGCTTGTTGAGGGAACAAGTCCGTGACACACTGCTACTCACCGGCGATGTCAAGACCGGTCTTGTGCTCATTGACGCCGTCAACGGATTTTACACGGTTGGAGTCGGTAATCTGGTGAAGCATGATATACTCATATATGAACTTGTTCCTCTATCCCAAATGTTACTGGCGCTTATTTTTCATGATTTGGCTTTTCATTTTATTTGAGACATATAGAGTTCATATATACCCAAATAGAACTTTATTGTCCTAAATAGGACTAAAAAAGCTTGTGTATTCCAAAACAAGATTTTAAAGATGTGTTTGCTAACAAAAATATTTTCTGTTTGTGCAAAAGTTCGGAAAAGTGGAGATAGAAAAAGTAGAAAACTCGTTGAACTAATTATTTTCCAAAAGAGAAAAAACGAGACAATGTCTAGCCTTTTCCTAGTGAAATAGAAAAAAGACATTTAGAGCTCGTTTGGTAATAGCCAAATCGGCTTTATTGGCATATTCTGCTAAAATTTATGAAGTTCTGGATGATGCGGCTGTATTGGTTGATTCTGCTGATTTGTGAAAAATTATAATTTAAAATACATTTAATTAATCAAATAAAGAAAAAATTATATGAAAAATAGCTAATATAACCCTCTACATTAACTTCAGACAATACGGTCAGAAAAGTAACTAATCCGTAGAAACTCACTTTTTCTTATTATTATTTTTTGAAAAATTGAGTTACTTACACGTTTTCGAACTGCACTGCCTATCTTTACTCGTTCGCCTTCCTCCGCGCTCAACCTTCCTGCTAGTTCAAGATAAGCCTATCTTTACTCCTGCCTTTACTGGGCTGTACCTTACCCCTCCGCCTGGCATCTTTACATCTCCGTCAAACCCCTTCAATTTGAAGACCGTCTAACCACTTCTCTATTCTATTTAAGTCGTACGCAAGCTTTCCCAAAGGCATCACACGGCTTCTCCAACACTACATGTCGTGGATTCGTTCCCCAAAGGCATCGCACCAGCTTCACCAAACAGGGCGTTGCTGCTAGGAACTGTACCCTGCCATCACGGAATCTCCCAATTCTTCAGTCCTCTCGTGTTCTATCAACGAGTTCAAGGTAAGCTCTCAAATTAAATGGCATTTTCACTTTACCTTGTTGGAACTTCAAATTCAATTGGAAACCTGAAGGCCAATTGAGCTTCATTTTTTTTTTCTGGCTATTTCTGCTGCACTTGTCTACGTTTAGTACTTATTTGATTTTTTTTTGATATCTTATTAGTTTGATGTATATAAGTATGTCTGATTTGAATGTGATCCAAATTACTTTTCTGCCTAAGTTTGTTTATTCGATTGCCTGTGAGATTCATGAATTGTTTGTTGGTCATATTTATCTAATTTTTGTTATAGAATGAGGAACCAAAATCTAGTCCTGGACATATTGATAGCAAAAAGATTGAAATAGGGGAATAATGATTTGGAATTGGTAATACCTGGGCTGGGGTGTATACTGTTTGGAAGGTGTTCTACAGGCTTAGGATATTTTGTTCCTTTTTATCTGTTTTTTGCAGTTGTACAATGTATATAGATATATATGTATCTATATCTAGAAAAACGAAAATGGAAGTCTATTATGGATAGACTGTTTTTTCATTGCTTAAAAAGTCTGTTTTCATTGCTTAAGAGTTCTTTTTTCATTGCTTCAGTTATGTTTTAAGGTATATGGCTTAAGATCTGGCTCTCTCCTCTTAGATGTCACACGGTACACAATTATGTTTTAAGGTATATTGTTTTAGAAAGCTGCTAGTAAATGGGATTGGAAAAGTGAGTATAGATCAATGGTGTGTTTTATCTTTTAGTTCATTTCCAAATTCCCTAGGTCCAAAGGGCTGTCCTACACAATGTAGTGGATAATGAGCATGTTAGTTGTTCTTTTTTAAGCCCTAGTTACCTAAATAGCATCACTATTATTCTTGTTGGATTTGGTGCCTAAATATGAATAACATGCTAATAGTTCTTTTTCTAAAAAAATGATACTTGTGTAACTTTTGTTCTATGTGAATGTTCTAAATTCATCAAAGAATTATTTCTGGGCATCTATTACTGGAGCGACTGAATATCATTGTACATCTTTTACTGGTTTTGCTTGTGTTTGAAGGTCTTCTGGTGTTTAAGTCATTATTATCTTTTATTAGCAAACATAGAAGTAGCTTTTTATAATTTACAAAATTATGGTTTTAAAGTAACTCCTTTTTATATACTATGTAGCTTTTTGAGATGTATGTTCCTCTATACCTGGTTTATCTTTGAGACTTTTATGTTTTTTTATTTTTTCTTTTTTATATTTTCCCTATTTTTATTATTAATTTACAAATATTTTATTATTTTTTATATTTTTATGATAAATGAAACTAAGTTTTTCTTGTTAATATAATAAATCTATTAGAAATTATAGGGACATATAATACTCTTATTTTGACCATAAAAAAATTGTAGTCATACGGAGTATTATTTATTTGTTTTTTCAAATATTACTAAAATAAAACTTATTTGCATAAATAAAACTAAGAGTTACTATAATATAGTGTTATGGTCACTTAAGTTCAAAAATTGAATATAAGTTATTCTAAATTAGTTACTACTTTAGCCATTAGTCATATTTTTGTAAATCATCTTTATTTTAATCATTAGTCTTTTTTTTTATAAATCATCTTTATTTAGTCATAAATATATAATTGTTTCTGCTTATTTAGGGCTAGTTTTAATCTTACTTAAGGCTGACTATTTATTTACATAGTGGGAAAGAGGTACGGCACAAATTATTATCACACAAAAAAACCACAAAAGGACCGACAAATAGACGCATATATCAACAGTGAGATGGGGATGCAAGCCCAGTCGGCATCCATTGATTTCCTGAGCATTCAGACTCAATTGGATGATGAGGAGCCACTGCTACTCACCAGCGATGTCAAGACCGGTCTTGTGATCATTGACGTCGTCAACGGATTTTGCACGGTCGGAGCCGGTAATCTGGTAAAGCATTATATACGCATTTATGGACTTGTTCCACTGCCCCAAATGTTATTGATGCTTATTTATCATGATTTTGGCTTTTCATTTTATTTGAGAGCAGATAGAGTTCATATGTACCCAAATAGATTTTTTATTGTCCTAATGTTTTTATTTTCTAAATAAGAGTAATTACTCTGATACCATCAGACTTGAAACGTGACAATATTTTTTAAACTTGACAATAGTTACTACTCCCTCCGTCCCACTTCAAGGTTCCCACGCGGTTTACGATGTTTGATTGACCATAAAGTTAACCGATCCCTGTCATTAATAAGATTGATTTTTAGTACATAAAATTTACATATTCAGAAACTACATTAAAACCGTTACAAAGCCTGATCAAGAAAAATTAAATTTGATAAAAGTTGGATATATAAAGTAAAAGATTAAGAACAATGCACGTTGATCGGAGAATAGTGGACGGGAACCTTTAAATGGGACAGAAGGAATACTATTTAGTTATTTAGGAAATAAAAACATGTCAGTCTCATTTTGTAATTCTACATTTTTCTTCCTATTTCGCGAATTTTCCCAACTTTATAGTAACAAATATGAAATGTGCCTCTTTTTACAATTGTGTCTTTTATCAATTATGTTTGGTGTACACACTTGTGTACATCATATAAATAGCTAAAAAAATATTACCTCTCTCACACCTTTCCCCTATTTCCCTCACCATTTGCTCTCTCTTCCCACATTTCTTTCCCCCTCCTCACCATGTGCCTCTTTTTACAATTGTGTCTTTTATCAATTATGCTTGGTGTACACACTTGTGTACATCATATAAATAGCTAAAAAAATATTACCTCTCTCACACCTTTCCCCTATTTCCCTCACCATTTGCTCTCTCTTCCCACATTTCTTTCCCCTTCCTTCGACACATACACCTCTGCTCACTCACCTCTTCCATTTTTTTCTATTTCTTCTCATTCTTTTTCATTTCTTTATTATGTAATCACCACTTCTTCTTTTCATCTTTTGTTCTTCTATTTTATTATTATCTGAGATTCGTCGGAAAACAAAATTAGAAAATCACCGGAGTGACATCTTTACCATATTCCATCTTACTCACATCGTCAGGTTTTTTATACTACCTCCGTCCCAATTTGATGATCTCAGTTCTTATTCACTTGGTCAACACAAATTGCTCTTAGTCTATTACTTTATATATCAATTTTTTATCAAATTTGATTTTTTCTTTTGCGGCTTTGTAAAACTTTTAATGTAGTTCCTGAATATGTAAATTTTATTTGCTACAAATAATTTGAGTGCAGACAAACTTCGCAAACCGCAACGGGACCATCAAATTGGGGCGAAGGGAGTATATTGGAAAAATAATCAAGAATGAAAAGTTGTTAGGGATTGGGCCTAATGGAATGTTAGGAATTGGGCCTAATAAACCAAGAGTAATAATAAGTGTATGAGTTAGTATAAATAGACAAAACTGGGGAGTAGTCAGGAGGCGGTTTTAGACATTTTAATCTGGGATTTTGGGAAGATCGAGAACTTTCTCTTTCTTTTGGGGGGCTACGGCTCATTGGGGGCTTCGGCCATTGTTACGGAACTTTTCTTCTTTAATAAGATTTCAGTTGTTTTGCTTAATATCTTCTGTGAATTTTCTGTACATCGGGAGCTTGTCTATCATTGGTATCAGAGCAGAGATCGTTGTGGATGCCTGTTACGCGTGCAAAAATGGAAGCCAGATTGAATGAATTGGAACGAAATCAGCAACAAGCACCCGCTACCATGGCTGAGGCCTTAGCTGCGATCCAAGCGAGCATCGCAAACCTGGAAGGAAGAATCCTGAGCAGATCGCGTAGCATATCACATGCGTAACATTCCTCGCAGAGCACCTCGCCTCGCACACCAAATCAACATTATTCACGACAGTCAGCGAGTACAGAAGGATCGGAAAACACCGACTACTCTCCTCCACATCGCCATCGCCATCATCACAGGGAACATCGTCATCATCAAACAGGAAGGAAAATTGAATTACCAATTTTCAATGGAGAAGATGCTTCTGGATGGTTGGTTAGGATGAACCGATATTTCCGCTTGAATCAAACTGAAGAGAGACAAAAGATTGATGTCGCTGTAGTGGCCATGGAGGGCCAAGCTCTCAGCTGGTTTCAATGGTGGGAGAGGCAGGCTACGCATCAAAACTGGGGCTCTTTTACTCAAGCTTTGACCAAGCGATTTCAACCTGACATGGTACAGGATCCACTAGGGCCTCTGTTTAGCCTGAAGCAGAAGGGGACAATTCAGGAGTACCGAAATAAATTTGAAAAGGCTATTTATAAATTTCAGTGGTAATATTTTCTTTCATCCAAGCAGAAGGGGACAATTCAGAAGGATATACGAGTAGATGATCGAGGTTCTAGAGAGAGTTGAGAGCGTCTCTCACTAGGAATCCGATCCTAGGTTGCTCTCTCTTCCCCTCGGCTCGTCTCGGCACCGCCACTCACGGTGGTCGCCGCCGCCGGGGCCCTCCCGGCTCCGGTGGGCTGGGTTTCTTGATGTTCTTTAAGAATTTTTGGAAAATCTCCCACTTTGGTGGGATGTTCTTGGTCATGTTTGTGGATTTGTTTTATGGGTGATGTTTTGAAGGTTTAATCCCGATTTCCGGAACTGTTCTTCTTCGTCGATGTCCCTCTAGCTTGGAACTGGAATTGCAGACTGGTCTCGCTGGACTGTTTGCCGACGCTGAGTGACGGCCGTGGGGGATTGATTTGGTGACGGAAAGGCGTTGGTGAATGGTCTGGTGTGCAATGGTCTCATAGAAGGATCTGGACTGGGTCGTGGTGTTTGGCCGGAGGAGTTTCAGGGTCCTGGATATTTGGAGATGGTAACATTCTTGGTGGAAGATGTCTAGATGAAGACGGACACTGGGTTTTTGGGACTTTGATTTTCGTTGATGTTGCCGGACTGAAAATGCCGGCGTTGGGGTTTGCTGGGGAAGACGACCGGAGTTCTGAGCGGATGCAGGACCACCTGGTTGGGCTTTCCCGGTTTTGTCTTGTTTGAGTTAACGATATATTTTTGGAAAGCTCCAGGGTTCGCCGGAGAAGATGACCGGCTCGCCGGGAATCGACGCTGCCTGAGGCTACTTTTTCCGGCTACTGTTGATTCACCACTGCTCCGACACCTTACCTATGCCGCCGGGGGTCGCCGGGGCTCGACGGGGGTGGGTGGTGGATGGTGGAGCTCCGAGTCGGCAAGGGTTACATCCGGGTTGAGGTTGGCCCTTCTTTTCCGGTCGCCGGACTATTTGGCGGCACCGGCGCCAGATGGGGTGGCTGGGGGAGGGGGTGGGATGGGGTTGACTGACAGCTGACACCTGTCGTTGACTAATTGTACGAAGATTTTTGAATTCTGAATAGGTGCGGCGCGGATAGGTATGCGATGAAGGGTTTGGGGTTTGGGCTGTTGCCCTAACTCCTGGTCCGGATACGCGGATGGGCTTGCTGGATTTTCGGGCCCATGATGCCTGGAGAGCTAGGTGACGGACGCTGGGCTGCTTGCTTTGCTAGGTGGCCTGCAATTTCGGGACCAAAGAATGCCTGCATTGTTTTGATGGACTTTTGGGTTCTTTTGACTTGATTTTTTTGACTTTTTGTGAAACGAGCCGGGGCCTGTCCCGTGCCTTTTTGACTCTATCTCCCCCCTGCCGCGGATACGGTAGATACTATTTTAGGATATATTGCTACCTAGATAGTTCTTTTTGATTCTTTTGATGCATTGTAATGCTATTTTCTTGATATATATATTTACATTTTATCCAAAAAAAAAAAGAAAAGGTTATCGCTTCACAAGGCCACTTAACCGAAGAAGTCTTGAGAGGAGCTTTTCTTAAGGGGTTGAAAAGAGATATAAGAGCAGAATTGAAGTTACATCGTACTAGAATGTTGGCAGAAGTTATGGATACTGCATCCGCGATTGAGAACAAGAATTCTGAAACCTTGTTTATGAAGAATAAGGATGAAGGAAGGAGGAAATGGCAGACTACTCCTATCATCCAATCTTCAGGCCAGAAATGGGGAGATGAAAGCAGGAAGGAAGGTCCACGCGGCGTATCTAATGAGGCAAGTCCCAGACTATCTCAAGAAGAACTATTAAACAGAAGCAAGAAAGGACTCTGTTTTAAATGTGGTGAAAATTGGGGAAGAGGACATGTCTGCAAGATGAGGAACTATAAAATGATCTTAGTGGAGAATTCAGAGGGTGAAGCTGATTCTGAAGTTGAATCACTGGAATTTGGTAGGGATAAGACCACACCTCTAGAATTGAAGACCATGCAGTTTTCTTTAAGTGATGAGAAAGTCATAACACCTGTGAAAACCTTTAAGGTAAAAGGTAAACAGGAATGGCATGAAGGTGAAAAAACAGTAAATGTACTCATTGATAGTGGTGCTACCCACAACTTTATTTCCCAGCAACTGGTAGAAAGATGGAATATACCTCTCCAAAGTATCAAGGCATATATGGTACAAATAGGCAATGGAGAATTGATTCCTATCTACGGTAGATGTGAAGGAATGAAGCTGAATGTACAGGGAAATGAAATTCAACAGAATTTTTATATGTTGGAGCTTGGTGGGACTGACATGGTGCTAGGATTGGAATGGTTGACTGATCTAGGTGTTATGGAAGTTAATTTCCAAAACCAGATCATAAAATGGAAGAAACAAGGGCTGAATCATGTTATTCAAGGTGATGGGTATTGGTTGTATGTGAAGGACAAAGCACAAAGCAGAAGCAAGTACAAATAGTTGAAGGCAGAAGGAACGAGCTTATAAAAGAGTACCCTGAAGTTTTCAAGTCAATTCTGGATAAAATGTTATGGCAGTGGTGTAATTCTGGTGTAATTCTGCTGTGAAATACATAGGAAAAAAGATGGAATCAACCAAGCTAAGGGTGCAGAAATCATGCCAGTATTGGAAAGGAAGAAGTGCTAGGATGAAAGAAAAGATAAAGATTGAAGCTGTGTCCTATCAACCACCTTGAGGGCAAGGTAGATGTTTAGGGGGGGAGTATTGTTAGGGATTGGGCCTAATGGAATGTTAGGAATTGGGCCTAATAAACCAAGAGTAATAATAAGTGTGAGTTAGTATAAATAGACAAAATTGGGGAGTAGTCAGGAGGCGGTTTTAGACATTTTAATCTGGGATTTTGGGAAGATCGAGAACTTTCTCTTTCTTTTGGGGGGCTACGGCTCATTGGGGGCTTCGGCCATTGTTACAGAACTTTTCTTCTTCAATAAGATTTCAGTTGTTTTGCTTAATATCTTCTGTGAATTTTCTGTACATCGGGAGCTTGTCTATCAAAAGTCGTCGGAAAACAAAACTAAAAAATTAGTTAATTCAAATCAGTGCCTATGCACAAACATTAGTTGCATGCGCACAAATGTGCACAGACAAAAAATGTCGGTATACATAGTCATTAGTTGTTTACGACAGACAAGAAATAACTGTGCACAAATAATAATTGTCTATACACAAACATTGGTTTCCGTGCAACAAAAATCTGATTAAAATACTATTCACATCAATTTGCGTTCTTCTTTTTGTGGTGTCCACGTCAATTGCATGCAAACTAGGGGTGGGCATAAAAAAACCGTAACCGATTAACCGTACTAAATAACTGAAAAACCGTTGTTTTTTCGGTTAACCATACCGTATTTTCAAACACTCGTGGTACGGTTAACCAGCCACAAGAAAAGAACGGTACACGGTACGGTTACGGTTTTGATATAAAACTACACCGGTTAACCGATAATCCAAAATTAAAATATTATTTCTAGTCTAAACTCATGTCGCAGGCAAAGTATTGCGTCATTTGCGTGAGTATTGTCACACACTAGGAAGTACGTGGTTCATTGGGGAATTGGGATTGGAGCTAAACTATTATTGTTATTAGTGATTAATTAATTTGTCATACGACACCATCACAATTGAGAGATATCACATTATCACAATCATTAATAATACGGAGTACATGGGAAAACTTCTACACGTTTGTTTTATACGGAGTATTTCAATAATATCAACAAGAGCTTTTTTTTGATTCTCACAGGAGAGTAAGATCCCTGTGGTAAATTGGATGATCAACGTAACATGCAAGGCGGCTAAATGTTACCCGGTTAACCAAGGTTATGGTACGGCTAATGATATTGTAAACATATTAACCAAAATCACGGTTAACCAAAAATTGGTTGACCGAAATGCGGTTAACCAACCGTGCCCACTCTTAATGCAAACTAATGTCTAGACATTAGTTGCTTGCAACATACTAAAAAGTTTGTGTATAGACAACTAATGTTTGTGCACAAGCACTGCTTTGAATTCATTAATTTATAAATATAAAAATTTACTTCGTTTTCAATTTATATTTTTCTTATAGACGATTTATATCAATATTTAGGACGACATGGACAATAACTCCGACAACTATTCATCTTCAATTTTTCGGTGACTTTCTAGAGATTCTGAATCTTCGGTTATTTTTCCGTTCGTGAAAGATAATAAGGGTAGAGACAAAGAAGATTAAAGTTTAATGATAAAGATGGAGGATGATTACTCCCTCCGTCCCGCTAACAATGGGACAAGAGGAAGTGACACGCAAATTAATAAAAAGTGGTTTTGTGGTTGATATTGAATTGATAAAGTAAGAATAAAGTAAGAATGATTTAGAGCAACACAAACTTTACCAAATTTGGTATGAGACAATCTTAGTGGGACGGACCCATAAGGTAAAATGGGACAATCATAGCGGGACGGAGGTAGTATTATATTAAAGATGACAAATGAGTTGAAGGAAAAAAGAGAAAAAAGGAATTGTATGGTGGAGGAGAAGGGGGGAGAAATGTGGAGAGAGTGAGATGTGAGAAGCGATGTGGGGAGAGCCAAGAGAGGGGTAAAAAAAGTAAAAGTTTGACCCTTATTTAGAACTCAATGTATACAAATGGCAAAATTCTTTTTTATTTCTCTACCAAGTTAGAGATGACAATTCAATCCGATTCTCTGGATACCAGTATTGAATAGCTCCTGACAATACTCGGAAACTGACAACTTTTACTCCCTCCCTCAAGAAATAAACTTTGTTTTCTTTTTTGGGCAGTCTTATTTTTTTAAAAGAAATACGAAGTATGTGATTCTTATCTTATTACTCCTTTTTCCTCAAATATAGACACATGACACATCTTTCATTTTTCAATTCAACTAGTTTATTAACATGAGTGACAAACCCAAACAAGTCATTTATTGGAGTGAGTATATTTTATTTGTAATGGGCAGCTAGGTGTTATGGATACAACCCCCATTGCAATAGCGCTTATTTCTTATATAGTTTAAAATAGCGCTTAATAATGTGGGTAACTACCCACATTATTAAACTCAAAAGGCCAATTTTTTAAAATAATAGTTTAAGTTCATAAAAACTACTCCCTTCATTCCACTTAATCTTGATGTTTTGGTTTACTATGTTTGACTATGATAAATTGAATCCATCCTTTGCAAATTATTTATTATTATCCTTAATTTAAATTTTATATTCATAAGTTGCATTACAAGATTTCCATCATTTGCAATGGAGTCGAAGATTCATTATTTTTTGGCTTGGGAATATGATGAGATAAAACAAAATAGCTAACGAAATTGGTTGGGCTTCTTTGTTATGAAACAGCCGTCAAATCATGCAATTTTCGTCACGATTTTTATCATGAGTCATCCAGAAACTGTCTCTTTGTGTTAACATACATCTGACTCCTCCTTACCTCACCGTAGGTGGGAGCCTTTGTGGCATTGGGGTGATGATGATGATGTTAAGTTGCATTACAAGCTCTACTCAATCGCAAAAACGAAATCAAACATGCTAAATTGTGATATAGAAAATCAGACATTAACATGAAGTTCAGTTGACTGTATGAATATTAACAATAAATATTCAAATGGGACATAGGGAGTATGAATAGTAACATCGCTAATCCACCTGTTGTTATCTCTACCAAATTTTATCATTGTAAAGACAACCTAGGAGAAGTAGGAGTGGGTGTGGAAATGCTACCAGGGATGAAAATGGAGAATGTAATCATTAAATTATTAAAATATTGATTAGGGAGGGGGGGAATGATCCGAAATATACAGAATAATTTCTCAATATTATCTACGCGTGGGCAAGAATCCCGGTCCCGTTGTCCCATTCAGATATCTTCCGGAACCGTACCAGTGTTGTCTCGTTCCGTTTGGGATCCATTCATTTCGTCCCGCACCGGTCCCGTACCGGTTTAAAACGGGACATGACTTGGGACATTGGAAGGTTATCCCGAACCGTCCCGTTGTCCCGTTTGTAATTATTACTACGTGTGTAGTTTTTTAGCATGTGACTAGTTTTTAATGCCAACTTAAAAAATAAATGATACTCCCTCCGTCCCACTAATATTGTCCCAATTTACCTTTTCGAGAAATCCTCCTAAAATTGTCTCATACCAAATTTGGTAAAGTTTGAGTGGCTCTAAATCATTCTTACTTTATTCTTAATTTATCAATTAATATCAACCACATAAAACTCACTTTTCTTAATAATCGTGTCACCCTTTCCGTCCCAATATTAGTGGGACATAGGTAATAGTATGTTTTTGATTTTTCAAGCCCAATGTTTTAAGTAAAAATAATACCTAACATAAATATTTACTAAATTAGGTTTTTATCTCACTCTCTATATTTGCATTTGAGTATCTCACAACTAGAGCACATAATTCTGAATAAATAATTAATTCATTTTTTACTTTGTTTTAAATTTAATTTCAATTTTTACTCAACCTAATTAAAATCTAATAGCAGTAATAGCTTTTAGTTTTTTTTTTTGTAAATGTATAGCTTGTGATGAACATCAGTTGACTTTTAAAATGTTAATATTTTGGTGCATGATACTTAGAAATGGTAATATATTTTAATTACAAATGATGATGTTTTTGTATAATACGCTTTTCTTAGTTTGGGATGTCCCGAACTGTTCCAAATCATTCCGGTCCCTATTTAAATTGGACAAGACTAGGAAAAAGGCTTGTCCCGTACCGTTATTATTAATTGGGTTGAGACTGGGATAACTCTAATCCCGAACCGTCCCGACCTGTGCCCACTCCTTATTATTATCCTTTGGTATTTACACTTATACATTAAGCTATACATGCATACATTCATAATGCATAGCATATTTCCAGTTGCAGGAACAAATGAACTATAATTCGTGAAAAATATTATCTATAAAAAAAATTGAACAACGATTCGTTTTATTTTCTGCTGTTTTATTTGTTGGAATGCTTTAATGTTTCTTCTTTAGTATTCATTACTTGGAAATTATTCTATAATTTCGTGTTTGTTTGAATGCTTTGTTCACTCTAGGCTCCACAAAAACATGATGAACAAATAGCTGGAATGGTGGATGAATCAGTGAAGCTTGCTAAAGTGTTCTGTGAAAAGAAATGGCCGATTTATGCTTTCCTCGACAGTCATCATCCCAACATCCCTGAGCACCCATATCCTCCTCACTGCATAATTGGAACTGATGAAGTGGAATTGGTTTCTGGTAAACTCTATCTGCCGATTTGTTTGACCACTCCACATTGTTGCTAAATTTGAGTTTCCTTTAGGTCTCATTTGGTATGCCAGGAAAATGCTAGGGAAAGAAAAAAGGGTGTAAAATACATGAGGAATTTAGCCGAAAAGAAAATGTTGATGTATATAAAGATTAAAGTATTTCTTCAAACTCAATATATTTATTTAATTATTCACTATTCACATTTCTTTGCATTTCTGGAGGAAAATCCAAACATAAGAAATTAACTTCCCTTAGCATTTTATTTACCTTCCCTAGCAATTCTTGGGATCCAAATACAGCATTAATATTTCTGTTTTCAAACAATGTGCAGCTCTCAAGTGGCTGGAGAATGAACCTAATGTGACAATTAGGCGTAAGGATTGTATTGATGGATTCGTCGGTTCTCTTGAAACTGATGGCTCCAATATATTTGTAAATTGGGTGAAAAGCAATGAGATCAAAGCTGTGAGTATTTTCTGTGCACCTGAGAGAGGGATATGTTTTATGTCCAATTACTTATTCATTGATGTGAAATGTTTCTAACTTTTACTTATTATCAAGATATTAGTTGTGGGAATATGCACAGACATATGTGTTCTAGATTTTGTCTCTTCAGCGTTATCTGCAAGAAATCACAGGGTTCTCTCCCCGTTGAAAGATGTGATAGTGTATTCACGTGGCTGTGCTACTTACGATCTTCCAGTTCATGTTGCTAAAAACATCAAAGGGGCCTTGGCTCATCCCCAGGTATGCTAAGCTTAGCTCAAGAGTTAGATAAGGGGGAATCAGAGCTTGCACCCCACCTTTTCACCTAAATTTGAATTTGCACCCCAATTTATTTAAATGACAATATCACATCCCAAATCTCCAAGTGTGCACCCCTTGTTTGTACTGAATTAGAGTTTGTACCCCATTATTAACAGATTTTTATTACTTAGGGGTGCAAGTATTAATGATTTAAAAACTGGGGTGCAAACTCAAATTTAGATGAAAATGTGGGGGTCTTAACTCCAATTCGAGTACCTCTGACCTAACCTAGACAGATTCAGCACTTTGGTTCTGTATTCCAAATTCCCAATCCTTAGCTAATGTTCCTCACTACCTAGAGAGAAAAACTGGTTTAAAGGAAAGTCACTTATGGTCCTTCAGCTGATACCCATATTGAACTACAGTCCCTTTTCTTCTATTATGTAAATGTCACCCCTCAATTGTCTAAGATGTTATAAATGCTGCCCTGGACGTTATTAAAAAAGTAGCACTTTCAGTCTCTTGGTTAATAACGTCGAGAACGAAGTTTACATCATTTTAGACAATAGAGTGATGATATTTACAAAATTGAAGAGACGTCAACTATATTTCAATATGGGTACAAACTGAGAGCCAAAAGTCGGTTTTTCCTTTCTTTTTAATTATCAAAGCAATGCTACCCTAAATTTAGTTATGCAATGTAGGAGTTGATGCATCACATAGGGCTATACATGGCAAAGGGAAGGGGAGCAAAGATAGTTTCACAAGTCTCACTTGGGACTCCACATTAAACCTGATCATCAGTTTTTCAGGAATTCAGTTTCGTATAATAGAAGAGGGATACTTCTCCTTCTGCACAAATGTTTTAACACTTGTTTTGTTGTCCCTATCAATTTAGAATAAGATGTATACACACATACTCCATTACGTTTCCTTAATATTTGGAGAATTGGTAGTTTGGTACTCATCAAAGTTACTGTCTAACAATATGATATCTCAAAGTTACTATCTTAATGTTGGTTAAGATACTCTTCATATTATTTGAACATCCAAGCATAACGAGAATTGAAGAGTGGTTCTCTTATTGGTCAAGTCTGTAATTATCATGGAAGTGTGAAGCTCAGGAATGCAAAATGGGAAAAATGTTACCTACTCTCACTACACAAAAACTTTACATGACTTGTAATTTGAGTATCCAATTCTGTTGAAAAGTGTGAAAAAGAAAAGGAAAAAGATCAAGAAAGAAACGAATGTTTTCCATCTTTTTTTAACAAATGGTTTCCATCTATATACATATATATTTATAAAATGTGAGAGGCTATATGAGGAGAATGCGTATGAATGCCAAATTGAACTTAAAGATCTATAACAGCTCTCAAGTCCTGGTACTTTTTGTTGGGGTGAATGCATGAAAAAACCGATTTCTTTTGCTTCTTTGGTTTGTTCCCAAAAATGAATGATCCTAGAGGAATTTTAGATCGACTTGATGAATGTTTCAGTTGTGAGTTTCCGTTAGAAAGCCCAAATTCATGACCCAACTTCTTGAGTGTCTTCTCAACCTCCAGTTGAAGTATGGTGACATGATCCACACCTGTTTGTAGTTTCTCTCTGACCTTGTTGTTTTCTTGCTTCATGTTCAGGACCTCACCTTGGAACTTGGCTGCCCGATGACTGCTGAATTGGATTTCTTTGCCTTCCACTCCTTCCCTTAGGGCTCTTGTGATTTCCTCCTGAATGTGACACAAAGACGAAAACCTGCCTTTCAGCTCATCCTTTAGCAACACACTTTGGTCTAACCCATAGATACATAAATCGTTAAACATGCCGCGAACTCCGTACCGCACGTTCCGTACCGAATCGCGGTACGCAAACGACCCGTTCGCTTGCCGGAACGCTACGCGGTACGGTCTTGGAGTCGTACCCAATCGCAGTTCCTCGACGATCTCAATCGCTGTTCGAAGCGACCCCAATCGATGTTTGAAGCGAATTTAATTGCCGTTTCCCTTCGTTGCAAAGCTTCAGAACGTCGTTTCCGTTCGTTTCCCAGATTTCAATCGTCATATCCCATATTTCGAAATAAGGTCTACGACTCTACGTTGCTTATTTGCGTATCGTTTCCCGTGTGTAAACAGAGTACGTAGTTTTTTGATCCTTTCGTTTCGTTTCTTAGACTCTTAGTTTTCTGATCCCAATAATCAATTTTACTCTCTAATAACTGTTATAAATTGAGCCAAAATGATCCCAAAATAACTCTTGAATATTAATGTTTTTGCTTTTGTTTAATGTTATGAAAAATCATGTTATGAAATATGTTTTTGTTCAATGTTGAAATCTTTATTCTATAATTCAGTTTTACGGAGTATATTTTTATTATAGTTCCAAAATATTAGGTACAACGTACCGAACACATGGTACATCGTATCGAACGCGTACCGAAATGAACCTACCCCCCTCCGAATTGGATACGCTAGATCTAGCGAACCGCGTTCCCGTTCCTCGTTCCCGTATCGAACCGTACCGTGAACCATGTGACTATGGTCTAACCACATTGTCAGCTCAGTGTGTATCTCCCTAAGGTGTTTGAATATGGGCCGAACCTCCTATCTTAGATCTTGTGAGTGACCACTGCCTTCTGCAGTTTTCTTTTCTTTGACTTTGGATAACTCATGCTGCAAGTCTTGTACGGTTCATCATCATTTCATTTTCATTTACCCTAGTGCCGCAAAGGCTCCCACCTACGGTGGGGTAAGGGGGTCGGATGTACGCAGTCTTACCCCTGTACTAAAACGCAGAGAGGCTGTTTTCGGATGACCCATAGTGAAAATCCCGTCCAAAATTGCATGGACTGACTGCTGCTTCATAACAAAGAAGCGCAGACAGTTTAGTGAGCCATTTTGCTTTATTCCATCATAATCTCAAGCCAAACAATAATGAATCTTTGGCTCCATTGCAAGTCTTGTACGGTTGTCTTGAATTTTTGTATCTGATGAAATGAAGAGCTGAACCTTAACCAGAAATCCAGATTTTCATCTAGAATTGCATCAATTTCCACGCGGAGCTTTTCTTCAACAGGGGAGTTGTGAGCAGGTTTGTTCATCAAGGCTGGCAATATGAAACAATCTTCACCATCTTTTGTCAGAGGAGGACTCTCTATATCTTCTTGCCTTCCTTTTGAGGAATCGAGTTTTGATTTTGGTTCTTCCCTTGTTTCTTTTTTCCAGTACAATCCGCTGAAAAAGAAATGTTCACTCTCTGATGTAACTGTTGAATCTCCTCATCCCTTTTTGCGATTGAACTTTTTAATTCACTTCTTTGCAAAGTGAATTCAAACTCGTTGTCTCTGTCCTTTTCCATTTCTGCCAACTTCTTTTTGAGGTCTTTGTAATTCCTAAGTACTGTTGTATACTCTTTTAGTATAAAATTTTCTTTGTCCCCCATCCCAGTTAACATCTCGTGCCAATTTTGCTCTTCATCCATATCCAAATTTATTTTCTGTTCATTTTTTTGAACCCTTATCTTCAGATTGAGGTGAAGTACTTGTCTCAACCAGTGTTCTATCCACAGGCGACAAGTGTTCACTCTGTGAGTTTTTACCTTCCTCATCTTTTTTAGTAACAGCTGCATTGGAATCTCCCTCAACTTCTTCTTCCCCTTCTTTTCTTTCACTCTCGGTGGAGGGTAAGGCACATTCGCGGAACCTTTCTAGAAGGTCTGTTTTGTTTTCATATGTTTTGATTTGGTTGAAACCCCTCAACAACGGATTCTGTTTCACTCTATGATGAATATGTATCCCCGTCCTCATCCTCGTCCTCCTCGTCTGGTTTCACATTATTTAGTTTCTCAGACAAATGGCTTAGGTTGCCACATGCCACATCAATGTGTTTCCTAAGCCTACTGCTGTGATTTTCAAGGTCTTGGTTTAGGTTTTGAATGTCTCTCCACTTGTTCTCTATTTCTTTAACTTGGTGGTTTTCTTTGGAAGTGGTTTCTGTATTGTTGTCTCCCTCCAAGCTTTGGACCGTTGCTTGAAAATCATTGGCTTTCTCTCTCAATCTGTCAAGTGTGAGTGTTTGGGTAGAAACTATGTTTTCTAGGTCTACCACTTTGTTCACAAGCTCATCAATCTTCTCAACTAGTTCAGTGACAGTCAAGGTTCCTGTGGGGTCCCCATGATCAAGCTGTTCTTCCTTGATTGATTCTTGACCAGAGTTTCTTCCTTGATTGATTCTTGACCAGAGTTTACTGATATGGAAGCGAGTTTATCACTTTCCTTCATCACTGTCAGTTTTGAGCAATCTCGGCCACATGCAACCATAAAAGTCTTTAACCTTGTATTTTTTTTCTGCATCCTGTGACGCTCTCTCGTGCTTCTCCCGCAATTGGGCCAAGGTCTCACGGCAAGATTTCAGGGCGGTTTCGGCCATTAACGTGCGTGCTACATCATCTTCAATAGCCGTCCTCACATCAAACTTGTCCTGCAAAGCACATACCCTCTGCTGCATCTCTGAGATCTGGTCCTCAATCCCCCTGCACTTGGCCAGTCTAGTCTGGTAGGAGCTCTTCACAAACTCTTTAGTGGTTTGTAGCTTTAGTATCTCCTTCTGAAGTTTGTCAATCTCTTCAGTGGCTTGTGTGATGGTGAGCCCAGACTTGGGAGGAGCTTTCTTCACAACCTCCAGCGCCGCTGCTGGTGGCTTCTTTAGCTGAAGCTTGTTTGGGACAGTGGCTGTTGTTATGAACACCTTCAGTTTCTTGCTTGGAGCCTTTGGAATGTTTTTGGCATTTTGGCATGGGAAGGACTTGCGCGGTTTCGGAGAGCAATATTCCTCATCTTCGTCCATCTCTAGCTGGAACTGTTCAGGACAGAGTGGCGAGCGTATGGTTTGCATTCTGCAAGTCCTTGGATAACTTGTCATACCTCTCTGCCAGTGATCTAAAACCTCTGTAAGATTCTTCCACAAAGTTTATAAGCTCTGGCCTTCTCTTGTAATACATCTCTGCTCTTTTTGCGAATGAATCCCATCTTCTTGAATCAAAACAAGCATGTGATGCACCTTTTCTTCCACATCTGCATTAGTTATACTATCATAAGACCTTGGTTGTCATGCTCTTTATAAATACTAGTTATACTTTTATCATAGTTGTTAAATCAAACATTACTACTATTCAAAGGGGGTGTTTGGAATTGATTCTGCTTCTGCTTCTGCTTCTTTTTTAAAGCAGAAGTAGAATCAGAATCAGTTTTCAGAAGCTGGTACCCCCTAGCTTCCAAAAAAATGATTCTAGGAGTAAATTAGAGCACCAGAATCACTTCTGCATTTTCACCCAAACACTCCAACTTCTGATTCTGCTCCCTGAAAGAGCAGAAGCAGTTTTAAGAATCAGATCCAAACAACCCCAAAATTCAATTTTAATATTATAGATATTTCCAAGCCCCAAAATATAGGTGGTAGATCTGCTACTTCATGTATCCACCGTCCCTAGGCCTATGTAAAGTTAAATAGAGCTAAAACTTGATTCTAGCATGAACCCGTGAACATGGGCATAACCTACTGTATCGAAGGTATGGTGAGCCAGCATAGAGATTTTTTAGAGGAACTTTTACACTTGAATTTTTACACTAAAAATGCAAACAACTTCAAATTTGGGATGGATCGGCACTTGGTTGGAATGGTTGACCCCCCTCTACCTCCACGGCTCCACCCCTGCCCGTGAAATCGCCTAGAGGCCTAAGTAGAGTTAAATTAAGTTTGTCTTGCATCGAAGAAACTCGTCCCACGCCCTATCACAACTACAAGTGCCACACGAGGAATCCCAACCCCAAAGGGAATAAGTAGGTATAAGAACATTTACTCTTCGTAGTCTTTAATGTGACATCTCGCCTACTAGATTAGTGCTATGGGGGTGTAAATTATGTGATTCACACTAGTGTAAATTATGTGATTCACACTACTGTTCCGGCCCGGCCCGACCCGGTGGCCCGGTCAGTGACCGGTCCGGGTAGGCCCGGCCCGTGGGTTTTCCGGTCCGGGCTCGGGTCACCCAAAACAAGGCCCGACCCGGCCGGGCCCGGGCCCGGTTCGGGCCAAA